AGAAAGAAATATAACAAAAAAAATAAAATATTATTTATTGTGATGGCTTTACTTACCTTATTAATTTTTATAGAAAAATATTAATTTAATTTATGTATCATTTTATTTATCAAGAATTGATTAAAATTATGCTTAGTTAAATAAATAAATAAATAAATAAATAATCTACTAGAAATATCTAAAAGCTTCATAATACTTGTATAAAAAGCCTATGTTCATTCAAATCTATTTATCAAGTATATTTTATTATATTTTTTTTATGTTACTTAAAGACTTTAGATTACGTTTGATTTATTTTTAAGCATAAATCTAATCCAAATTATTTGAATATTTCTACTAGAGTGCAAATAGTTTCTTCTTTACCTTGATATTGATGGTAGAGTCATATATAATATCTTTTTGTTACTGACATAATCATCATTTTTGCAAATTTGATAATATCTTATCGAGAAGCTTTATATATGTGGATTTGGCTTTACATGTATTTGTAAGTGATTTATAGATTGAAAACCTAACAAACAAATTGACAACTTATAGTACAAGTTGGCCATGTGGTGTATATATATGAAACTTACATTGCTAATTGAAAAAGTGTCAAAGATCCGAAAGAATATTGTTATGCACCTCCTAATTAGATATTATATATGGATGCAAGAGTGAGGCCTTCTTTTTTCATATTATTGTTGTTTTTGTTAATAATTATTGTTTCAAGAGTCTCAAGTCTTTTTGACATTGGAAGTAGTCATTTTAGTTTTAATGTTATATTATCTTTGAATAAATATCTACTCTTTTCAGGTAACACAAGAGTTTTTTTTTATAATTTGATATTTTGAAAATTCATCTTATTATCTAAAGTTACTTTTACTTTTGATAGTTATAATGTATTCTTGTTTTGTCTTTGTCTTTATTTTTTGATATGTTCTTCATTTAAAAGGCTTATATCTTTAAAATTAATAAAAAAATATTATATATATAACATTATTATATTAAATATTCAATTATTATATTATTTTAAATAATTTTTCAGACTTTTGTATATAACTTGTCAAAGAAAAAAAACATTCATACAATAAATTATATAAAAAAGAGTAATTATAATGTATAAACATAAAGATATGTATATACATGTATGAAATTAACAAAGAAAAAACACCACAACTGAAAATTAATCATACAAGTAATTAAGTTTGAAACTATTGAGGTATTCATAAACTATTTTATGAATTCTCTCTAATTTTGTATATAAGTGTTGACTAAAGCTCAATTGAATGCAAATTCTACTATTATGAATAATATCATACTTGTATTGAGTCTTGTATGTAGGCAATAAGTAGGCAATCAGTATAAATGACCTGTGTTCTAACTTATAAGATTTGTCCCTGAAAATTTGTATCAGCTATATATTATAAAAAATAAAAATAAAAATAATCATTTAATCATACTATGATCTCAAAATGGAAAATATAAGTACTTCATAGTATTATATTTACATATATTTCTAATTCTTTTTTAGTAAATGTGTATTCCAAATATTAGGCATTTTCAAATGTATGTGAATATTATAAGTTTTTGATCTATCTTGCATAATCTTTAAATGATCAGAGTATTTTATTCATTTTTTCTTTTTCTTTTTTTTATTATCTTTTATTAGAGAATGATTCAACTATATGTGAAATAAAATCATATATATGTTATAGTGGATATTATTGTATTTTTGCAAAAAGAAATGAAAAAAGAAATTAAATCAAAAAAAATATTATATATATAAGAAGTTATTAATAAATAATAATATATTTAAATAGTTTTTAAATAATATATTTTGATAACATTGAATGAAAATAAAACTAATATATATATATATATATATATATATATATACAAATAATATCTTTGTTACTAAATTTTATATCTTAATCATATTAAATAATTTTATAAACATTCAATTAACTATGAAATAATGTCTTTATGTTGAGTTTATGGTTTGACATTCATATCATGTGTGTATGTATATATATATATATATATATATATATATTTATGTACAATGATACATTTGTAATTCAATAAGCTTAATAGAGAAAGCAATTATTAATTAACAAAGGATATCATATTTGTAAACTTAAGTTGTTATAATAGCCCTTAAGGTCATTTGCATGGTTGCTTTAGATTGTTTGCAAATACATGCTTATTTAATAGTTTCATATATGTAAATTATACAATATATAGCTTTAGTTAAACAAAGATGAATGAGTGTGTGATTAACTTAAATAATCTTTAAGACTAACATTTTTATTAGATTCTTGTTGCTTGAATAATATGTACAAAAGTATAAAGATCATTAAATAATATTATACAAAAGAAACCATGCAAATGTCTTGATGCCAAGAAATAAAAGAAGGTCCTTGAATTTTTAGATAGGTGATTTTGTTGCTTTTTAAAGTGGTTCTTATTTAAATTATTCAAGTCATTTAGGAAAAGTAAATCAATTGACATGGAAGTTATTGTTTCATTATTTTTTTACTTTGATAGAAAAGATCTTAGCATATGCTCTAAAAGATGTACTTATATTGATAAAACATGGATTTATTTTTGAATGGCATTTGATTGTAGAATCACATGGGAGTAGATAAAATGGATAAAGAAAGACAAATCTTGGGTTATAATTACATTCACAAAAAGTACAAAAACAAATACAAAAAGAAGTGAAAGCTATAACATCTTATCATTCATAATGCAATGTAGTTTTTTTACTTCTGTAAGAAGTTGAGCAAATAGTTAAGATTTTATTATTGGAGTAACAAAAAGGTGTAGATAACTAGATTCTTATTTTATAAATGATTAGAAGACATAGAAAAAGAAATATTTTTGTGGTAGTCAATATTTGGAAAAGAAGAAAATAGATTTGATACATCAGATCAAAAGTGTCTTCTTATATTTTTTTTACACTTTAGCATGGATGAAATGTTTTAGTGGAAGTTTGGAAGTCCTTTGACGTAGTGTGTATGCCAAAGTTGCAATAGCCACAAGCATTCTTTGCAATGCATTATGGTACCTTTGTATTGTACAAGTTTTGATGCAATATTTGGCTCTAAAAAAATATTTGTAGTAGAAACCACATTTTTAGAACCTGCATGTTATTAAATGATAAATTGTAAAAATTGTATCAAATATTAGGTAATAGATATATTATATTATTTCATTGGAACATAGTCGGTGAAAATAAAAATATAATAATGGTTATTGAATTATTAATAATATAATAAAAATATAATAATGGTTACAATAATGGTTATTGAATTATTTTATATTATATTACATAAAAATTGTTATTATTATTATTATATATATATAAATTATTTTTACATGCCTTAAAAAATGTACAAGATATACTATATGTGATATAATAAATAAATAAATAAGTGTAAAAAAAATATGAGAAGACACTTTTGATCTGATGTATCAAATCTATTTTCTTCTTTTCCAAATATTGACTGCCAAAATTCTCATATATTGCAGATTTAATTAATTAATTAATTATATTCCTAAAATGTAGCATTCTAGAAGATTAAAAGATCCATATGATTTAGACCATGAAACCGATTTTAAGAAAATAATCTCAATAACCACTATTCTCTGATCTTTTTTTCTTCTTTTAAATGAATACCAAAGAATAGATTCAATTAAAATAAAATGTATTGGTGTTTATATATACATCATGAATATACGGAATCTGGATAAATTCATTCAAACAAAATAAACTGACACACACAAACTTTTTTTTTTTTGGACACGTAGGCAAATGAAGCCCATGCAGTGGCCTTGCCGACCCTTGCGACCCACCACGAAAGCCCCTACCACTGCAGATAACGTTCTCTACATTGGATCAGCGTTCCCTGCGGAAAAAACTCCTCATAGCATAGTTGAAACCCCAATTGGAACCCCAATGGGGAACAATTTATCAAGTGCCCACCACATCTGACATATATATAATTTTAATTTGTCACGATTGATTCCATGCCAACAGGTTAACATTAACTTGACTCTCCTTTAGTAACGGGACTTTTAACGTTAAAAGTTGGATGACTAAATTTATTTATTTTAAACTTAAATTAATTGTAACATGGGTAAACACATCTCAATTTGTTTCAAGGAACACCAAAATATGTGGGAAAAAATTGTAGGATGATGAATTTTTTGAGTACCAGAATATCGTATTTTGAAATCATCATTTTTGGCACTAAGTTCCAAAATTAACGAAATACTGAATGAAATACTTACATGAAGTTTCAAAAAAGGTCACTATGTGTGTATACGTACATATATACTTTTTTTTTTTTTTTTTTTTTTCATAATTTCATCAATCTTCGTAGATTTATAAATGATTTAAATAAAACCGAGTATTTATTTCTTTCTATCTTTTTTGAACTGTCATTTGTTTGATTTAAAAATTTGTCATTATTTTGATTTAAAAATTTGTCATTATTTTGATTCTTTTATTCAGTTTAGTGTATAAGTATGTGATATTACAATATAATAATTTGAATTTTTTTTTAAACTTATTTAGTTTATCATGTTAAAGTAAAGAAAAATGATTCAAACTTATGTATAAACATTCTGAGATCCTGCTGTCGTTCTAATTTGTATCCTCTTCTGTTCTACTAAATTATGTAGAAGCACCTCTACGCTTAACTATTTAATTAGTATATAAATAAAAATAGACTACAGGAACTTGACCATGGCGTCCGAAGTGTTCAAAAGAGTAAGATTCATTTGAACGTTGTGAACATCAGTTCGAATGTTGTGAACCACGAGTGGCGGAGGAGTCGGTCTTGGAGTCCCACACCCACACGGTCATACCCAATACCGTAGGGGGTCATAAAACCGTGGGACTTGGCGGGGTTATCGAATTTCGCCCCGCGTTCGTAGGGGTGGCCGCGGGGAAACACGCGACGCCGCTCCCCCTTCGCCAATATGCTTTTTGCGTTTATTTTTCGTTTGTTTTTCGTTTGTTTGTTTGTTTTTTTTTTTCCCCGCTTCGAGGTGTCACTGAAGCGGGCTGTCGCTGGGGTTTGTTTGTAAACGTTGCGATGATTTCTTACACTGCTGCTGCTCCCTGTCCCTCACCGTCAACCAACCGTTGAGATTAAACCCTGTGCTGTGTTGGTTTTTTTCCCCTTCTCTTTCTCTGTGTCTCATCCATTCGCTCGCATTCTCGTAAGTCTGTCATCGCTCCCCCTCCTTCATCTCTTTCAAACCTTGCATGGCAACTGGTTTCGCCTTCGCCCCTTTCTGCGTTTCGGTGAATTTGCTGGATTTTTATTTGAACGGAAGTTGCATTTCGGGTACGACGTGGGAAGGGGTTGGGCGGAGTTCGCTGGGGAGGTTGCGGGTGGGGTTCGGGAGTGGTTTGGGTTTGGCCACGGGGTTTTGAGAGGGTGCCTTCAGGGTTTCTTAAAATAAACTGGATTTCTTTCGGTTTAGCTGTTGGTCGAATGGTTGAATGGCTCCTTGTGTTGTCGATTAGACATCTGGTTGCGTTCTGAAGGTTTTGCGGTAGGTTTGTAAAGATCGTTGGGAAAATTAGTGCAAAACTTCTTTCACATCCACGTAGTGTTTTTTTATGAGTTTCGCGGCGACATCAATCGGGTCTGATTTTTGGAGGGTTTAGTAATGATTGGAATTTCTCAGTTGAGGCGAATCCCCGAGCTTTCTGTCTATGTTGCTGACCCCCTCCCCCCCCCCCCAACTCTTCTTCAGAAATCTTTTTTTGTGGTTAATGCATGTGCTTGTGCTTTTCATTCTTCTCGAGCTTGACTTTCCTGTCGTGTTTATTATATCAAGGGGCTTTTTCTACCCTGGTAGGATATCGTTCGCATTTCTGCTTTTGACTAGTGATACAGTTCAGTGTCTCAAGTAACATGCGAGGAGGTATGAAAGTTTAGACTTATATATGTTTTTGTGCCATTGTGATGTCTCTGTTTTAAGTTCTATGTTGTCTTAATTGATTCCTTCTACAGTTTCTACGTAGTCTCCGCATCTGGTAGTACTGAACGATATTTTTGAAAAATGGCTTTTATTTTGGTGCTTGGCGTACCAACGCTTTTGACGATCTAGATGGAGCTGCTCCGTTTTTAATGCCAGCATTTCATGTTAAAGAATTTTATGAGCTCTTGTGAAGTTTATAAGCGCTTAATTTGTATGACATTCTGTCAATGTAGTCATTTTCACTTCTTTCCTTCACATTTTTCGTATGTTTCTTTACTTATAGTGGAGTAAATTTTAGTTAGACATCTTTTCTACGCGTAGGAGTTGTTTTTACAGGACTTTTAAAACTCTTTTGTGAACGTCTCTTAGAATGCCTTTTTCAGAACCCAGAAATTGTTCAGAAGCAGAGTCTGTGCTTGTGCAATTGCCATTCAATTATCGTTTGGAACTAACAACCTCATTCCTAATATTTAGTCGTGATTTTCTTGCAGTAACCTCTCAGTGCCGAGTCACAGCGCAGGACGATTCCTTCCACCATGAAGTGGGAGCGAGTGAAAGTGAAGTACAAACCGAAGGACATTATTGAGGGGAAGAAGTCACCTGGTCGCAAAGGTGGCACCGCTGGGCCCGGAAAAAAGTGGGGTCACACAGCAAATACAGTCAAGAATGGCCGCTATCTGTATGTATTTGGTGGATATGGAAAGGATGATTGCCAAACGCAGGACATTTATGTTTTTGATTCTGGTATAATGTTCGGTTCACTTGATTTCTTCAAAGTCCACATTTCACTGATTTTGTAAACATGAGACAGCATATGTTTAGTTAGAGGTTATGGAATCTTATAAAGTTTGCAGAGCTCATTTCTGTACTTACTGGTTTCCAGTGCAGTTTCCAATGCATGAATGAGTTCCTAATGATTCTTTAACATATCTCTTCTATAGGTTTTTATGTAGACTGGATCTCGACTCCTTTATATAAAAAGAAATACCTGGACTTCTGCTTTATGGTTGTCGTAACAAATCTATGTATTCAATGGTGCAGTGAAGCAAACATGGAGCAAACCAAATATCAAGGGCCATCCTCCAACTCCTCGTGATAGCCATACGTGTGTAACCTTGGGGAACAGCCTCTATGTTTATGGTGGTACTGATGGTTCAAGTCCGCTGGCAGACATTCATGTTCTGGACACAGGTAGTCCTTCGACCACATCAGGCCTTCTTATATGTGATTTACATGAAGAATCTTGTCCAACTGAGTGATATGAGGAGAATGTTGTGGATATTGCTTGAGTCGGTTTCTTAGCAGGGTCGAAGAGGTCATAGTTATGAACTTAATCTGGTTTCTGTGCTTTACCTTCCTGAATCATGTTTTTTTAAATACCTAGTGAATTCATGCTTTTTTCCTGGTTGTATTGGATTATTGAGGACAAGTTTTCAATTATGTAGTTGTTGAATAACTCTTATTCTTTTATGGTGAATTTGCTGGGCACAGTCACCAACACATGGTCTGTGCCCCAAACCACAGGGGATGCCCCATCTGCTCGTGAGGGACATAGTGCAGCCGTAATTGGAACCCGCATGTATATTTTTGGTGGATGTGGGAAAGCGAACGATGGTTCAGATGACTCTTACTTCAATGACCTGCACTATTTGGAGACAGGTATTACAATTCTTTCACTGGTTTTCGTCGTAAGATTTTGCTGTTAAGTTTGTTAATGCCCCATCCTCTCGTCATGTGGTGCGACGCTTGGACCGATACTCTATGAGGTCGGTGCGGAGACTAGTCTTTAAAATATTCTTGAATTTTTTTACTCGTTGCTGCCTTCTTATTACATTTTAAGTGTAGTTCCGTCGTGGCTGTGAGCAGCACATGTGCCGCATCATTGGGTAAAGGTATCAACCTCAGGGAGTCACCCAGCTGCAAGGGACAGCCATTCAATGTCTTCCTGGAACAACAAACTCATAATCCTTGGAGGCGAGGATTCACTGAATTCGTTTTTGTCAGATATTTATATTTTAGACACGGGTGAGCACTTTTAAATTCATGTCTTGTTTAACTCTTTCCAAGCTGCTGTAACGTTGCAGTCGTTTTCAGCATGACTGTTATTTTTCTTTTTGAATATTTTTGAAGGAGTTGTTTGGTTTCAGCTGTCTGGTTTTGTCGTCCTTTTATTAGCACTCATTTTTATTTTGTAGAACCTCAGTTTTTTACCCTCTTCTGGACTTATAGTGTTCTATCATTTTGTGTGGTGTATCACTTTGTAGACACGTTTGTTTGGAGAGAGTTGAGAACAAGTGGACAGAAGATAATTCCTCGAGCTGGGCACACCACTGTGGCTCTTCGAAAGTACCTGTTTGTTTTTGGAGGATTTACAGATGATCGAAAACTTTTTGACGATCTTCACGTCCTCAACGTTGGTAAGTTCTTCTTTTAACAATAATGTACAACTCTCATCATTGAGTACTCTGCCTGCAGTGATTGGTAGCTCATCATTTGCATATTGAAAACGTTAGGTTTTTCTTAATCTCACCTCTTGGGTCTTATAAGCTGGTATTTATTGCTGATGCACAGATAATGGTGTGTGGACAAAAGCTATAACCAGCGGAGTTGGCCCTTCTCCACGCTTTTCTCTGGCTGGAGACGTGGTAGATGCAGAGAGGGGTATTCTTCTATTCATTGGTGGTTGTAATGAAAACTTGGAAGCGTTGGATGATATGTATTACTTGGACACAGGTACTCGTCTGGCTAACTTGGACAACACTCTTCTATAAACACATGAAGGCTCTATAATTGTATTGGGTATTAAGGTCGAGGCTTTTGTGATGACGTTACCATCCCCAAATTATTCGTTCTTTTATTTCAGAACAGTGCTCCAGTGTTTCTGTAAACCATCAAGTAAACATGTCTAATACCATCAAGTAAACAAGTCTCTTATGTTTCTGTATCTGCTGACAGAGATGAAAGCAGAGAAGACACATTCTGAACCAAGGAGAGAGAAGTTATCACTGAGAAAGGAATTGAAGAGGAAGCGTCAAGGTGGTGATGGACTTAGTGGACCGGAAGATCATGGCTCACCCGTAGTATCTGCAGTGGGTTAGTGAACTGTCCCATCTGCTTTTTTTCTTTTGTTTATTTGTTTGTTTGTTCTATTTATTCTAATTCCTTACATGTACGTAGGACAGAAGAGCTTTAAAATTGATACTTTAATACAAGGTTAGCGTGTCCAAGTTTAACTTATATGAAGCTTTTGGTGCAATTTGAACTGTCGTCAACTGCATCCGAGTGATTTTCTAGTCAGTCATACACTAAATATTCTCTGAAAACATGAGCTCATGGGTTAATGTAGTGCCTAGAGAAGAAACTTGTTTACTTGATGGTATTAGACATCCGATTTTGATTTGAAGAATTAAATGAAGCTGTGCTGGAGACCATTTGCAGGTTCAAGCATGTATGGGATGTATGATGTTGTTCCGGTGGCTGAGCGCATCTTTGAAGCCAAGATCACAGATATCTTTCATTACGGGTTCACTATTGAAGCAAACATTGATAACAAGCCTCTGCGCGGGCTCCTCTTCTCTTACAAACCTGGGTTTGCTCATGCAGCTCACGACTACATAGCTAGGTTTGATATACTCACCTTTTGCGTTTGTATATGCCACTATAAATGTTATCTAAGAAGAATTACTCTACTTCTGTTGGTTAAATACTTAATATTTTAGTGGTAAAACAGATTATTTCGAGTATTTTTATTTGTTGTCAAATTTGTTTGAGGTATTTAATGTTCCGTCCTTTTCAGATTGAGCATTTTGATGGGGTTTCTCATATTCCCTTGATCATGTTCTGGCTTTACTTTTCAAATGCAGGAAGAAAGCAGCTGAAGAAGCTGCTCTTTCCAAGGAGCGTGAACTTCGTAGGCAAATGAGAAAACAAGCCCGTATCGCGAAGCAGCAAGCTAAACGTGCCGAAGCACCTCAAGCAGCACCACGGGCAGTTCTTCAAGCAGTTCCTCAAGCAGCGTCTCAAGCAGTTCCTCAGGCAGCTCCCCATTTCGTTTCTCCTTCAGTTCCTCAATCAGCTCCCCAAGCGGTTCCGCAATCAGTTCCCCAATCAGCTCCTCAAGCAGTTCCGCAATCAATTCCTCAAGAAGCTCCCCAATCAATTCCTCAAGAAGCTCCCCAATCAATTCCTCAAGAAGCTCCCCAATCAGCTCCTCAAGTAGCTTCTGAAGAAATATCACAAACCCCAATGGAGCCGACACCTACATTGCAACCTACATTGCAACCTGTGGCTGGTGTATCTGGGGTTCCAACAACCTCAACTGAGTAGTTTCAGATTTACGTTGTAAGTTAATCTTCTTGTTGGGCTTTCATTTCTACTGACGCTTTGCACGATTGTCTTATCTCGGTTTCAGGATTTCGTAAAATTCAGCTACTTAATCCATTGCGCTGCTTGATTAGCGTAGTAGTTTGTTCAATAATCTAAGAATTTCTCATTTTTCCATGGATTAGAGAAAGACTTCATAACGAAAACAACCAAAACGTATTTTGCCCATTTTAATCTCGAGATTAATATTTCTTGAGCCCAAGAAATTCCTATTAACTAATATGTTACCGAAGACGTTCTTGGTTAATGAGTCAAAAGCATAGCAATGGCCGAAACTTTGTCAATTGCTACGCCTTTCATACATCATGAGCGCTTCTTTGTCCCTATTTTTAAGCTGCTTCGTGAAACTATGGCGTCTAATGCGTTGTCGTTTGTGTGATGTAGCGAAGTGGAGCATGTAACTGTATCGGTGCTGAGTTGCCTTCAGTGTTTTGCCATACTATATGTTAGTGATTACTCTGCAATTGGATGCGCGGACTCTAGCGATCCCATTTTCGGCCTGAAGCCTACATGAGATCTGATTCGGTGGAAAAATGATGGCATATGCCTTAGGAAAGTTTATACGCCACGCATGGCAAAGAACGTTGGGGCATGTTTGCAAGCATCGTCCATCTAGATCTGAGCGAATTCGGAACTGAACAGTTGATGCTGAATAGTTACTGGATTTTACGACTTGTGAAAGTGCTATCAACTTAATTCTTGTTTCAATGATGGCCGTTTGCTAGTGACAACGAGCTCATTCAAAGACCTCTTTGTACATGCACATTTTTAAGAACTGCTGCGTTTGTTATGTTCTGGGAGACGCAGCAACTCAATCGAAATAGTTTAACTTTTCTAGGTCGGTGTGAGCCAGCCCTGTCGTGGTTTGAATGAGGCTGATCATGCTGAAATGTCTTGCCAACAAGTTAGTGTTTTATTCAGTCCAAATCTGTCGTGTTACAGCTGTCAAAGCTTAGATCCTGTGTTCATCAAATCGCTCGTATGAATTTTATCGCTGTTGAGTGACCATGAAACATGTAAATGGTCTGATTCAGACCCAAGACATGATCTACTGTGGGTTTGGTGGGTTGTTGCATGTGCACTATGATGCAGTGACCCTGAATTAATGTCATTCTGTAACTTCATACTATTTTTTTTACAGAATGTCATTTCTTAGTTTCTGATGTAGGAGACATTTTGAAATCCTCCTCACAATGGAGGATGGGTATTGTGCTGGACACATTATGTATATTCTTTCTTTAATCTTTAAAGAAAGGATATACATAATCTCTCTTATTAGAAAGGAGCTAGTATTGACTTCAAATGGAGTTTATGTTGAGTTCATTTGAAAATGTTTTTGAAAGAAAAGAGCAGATGAATAGTTCATATGAAGATGTTTATTAAGTTGTAGGTGTTTTTAAAGTGTGAGTGAAGTTCACATAGAGTTCTCCATCTCCAAAGTATGAATTTTTGAGAAATTATTAAAAAACGAACTACTTTTTAAAAACATTAGACATTGCTCTATCAAAACATAACTTTGAGTATTTATGCAAATAACAAGTCAAATTTCAATTGATAATAATCAATATTTTTATTAACGTATGATTCTTTTTATTCAAATAATTTGTTAATTTCTTATAGTGATTTGTTTTCAATGTGATCTTACTTAATTTTTATTTATTTATTTATTTATTAACTATGCATTGTTGTGATGTAACACAGCTAATGAAAGAAAGAGAAGAAAACGTTATATTATAGAAGATCTTATTTTAAAACATTATAGCAAATTATCTTAGAAATATAGATAATAGTCAAAAAGATAGTAAAACTAAAAAGTGCTAATGCTACCTTTTTGCAAAATAAGCTTCTACTTACTTTGTAGGGCCATAAATAAGGCAAAACAAAGGAGATTGAAAAATTAAATAATATAGGCATGTGTAGAAAGGAGTTAAGAATAGATTTTAGCAAAATTTACCTCAAGAAGCCAAAAATTAATATCCAAATAGGACCAGTTGTCAACCAAGATCAAAATCAAACCCTGAGACACAAAACCATGTGCATCTATAATGACTCCAAAGTTCTTTAGTAGATTGGAAAGCAAGATTTGAGAGGAGACATAAGGAGAGATTTTTGGACGTTGGTTTTATATCAATTGAATCAATATTGATTTTTTGATGGATTTTCAAAGTTAGAGATGTTCTCTATTGGTTTAGATTTTGAAAAATAAAAATATGTTACAAATTTGAGAATTTCTTGAGTTCTCTGGTGTGTATATGGAAGAATTTTGAGCTATATGTTGGTGTGCTAGTTTTTAATGTGTATGCAAATTTTGAGATCAATCGAGCAGTTAGATCTGTTGAGAATGTTTAGAAAGACACAATAGTAATAGTAAGTAATATACACACATACAAGAATAATAGTAAGTAATACATATACACAAGAATAGTAGTAAGTCATACACACAAGTCGATTTCTAAGGAGAGAGAGCTTCATACATAAAATTCTATTGATCTGGTTGTGTCTCGTATACAAGAAGAGAAAAAGGGAGAGGATAAACAATACTTTTCCACTAGATTCTAAATACTACAACTATAGTATTTATTGTGATCTACAATAAATATTAAGGAGAGCGTCGGCTATATTTAATGATCTCAACACTCCTCCTCGCTCATCATAATATTTACATAATATAAAATTTGTATAGAATTATGATCTATACTTTTTTGTAATCTTGTAAGATCAATAATTGTTGCCTCATTAAAACCTTATCTAGGAAAACCTTATTGTATTTAAGGACAAAACCATAGATGAAGGAAAAAGAGTACAACATCATTTTTTTTAATTATTTAAAGAGCTCATTAACTTTCTTATTCAAGAAAAGCAAGTCGCCACATACCAATGCCATAAGTAAGTCGACGATGGTTGCACAATGGGAGAGCTTTGGTGAATAGATCAGTAAGGTTATTTATAGATTCAATTTTCTTAATTATAAGTGCTTGATTAGTAATGAAGTCATGGATATAACTAAAATACTTTGGATCAATATGCTTTGTCCTGTCGCCTTTAATGAAACCAACTTGCAACTGTGCAATACAAGCACTGTTATCTTCATGCAAGATAGTTAGAGAATCATCATATGAAAATCCACAAGTTGTTTGAATGAATTTATTAATTAATCGCAATCAAATTCATTCTCGAGATGCTTCATGTAAAACAATAATTTTTGCATAGTTGGATGAAGTTGCAATTATTGTTTGTTTCACTGATTTTCATGATATTGTAGCTCCATGTCTTAAAAATACATATCATATTTGAGATTTAGTTGTTGCAGTATGAGATTTAAATCCTGCATCACAATATCCAACCAATTTTGGATCTGCAGATTGTGTGTAGTATAATTCCAAGTCTTGAGTACTTTTTAAATAATGTAATAAATGTTTGATGCCATTCCAATGTCGTAGTGTTGGACGTGCACTATGTCTTGCAAGAACACTAACTACAAATGTAATATCTGGTCTTATAGATGTATCTAAATACAAAAGTGCTCCAACCGCTGTCGTGTTGTAACACAACTATATGGTGAAAGATGATAATATGGATCTTATTATAGAAGAGCCAAGTTAAAATAAAAGATAGAAAAATATGGATAAAAGATAGGGAGGTAGTAAAACTTTTAGTAGTAATGCTGCCCTTTTAAAAAAAATGGCTTCTACTTACTTTGTAGGGCCAAAATAAGACAAAATAAGGTAGATTGGAAAAATAAATGATATAAACATCTTTAGGAAGAAGTTAAGAGTAAATTTCAGTAAAAATTACTTAGAAAAACTAGATATTGATACCCGGAGAAGGCCGGTTATGAACCAGGGTTTAAATCAGACCTTGGGACACAAAACTGAGTCTCGACAACGACTCCAGGACTCTTTGGCAGATCGGAGAGTGGGATTTGATAGAAGATTGGATAGGATTTCTATGGGCATTAATTTTGTGTGATTTGGAGTTGTTATGACTTTTCAAGAACTTTGCAAAGTCAAGGTTTGTTTCAGATGACTTGGGTTTTATGAAATAAAAGAGGGTTTACGTTTTGGATGATTTCAAGAGTTTTGTAGTAGATCTATGGATGAAATTTTGTAGGTTTATGGTTATAGTTGTGTTTAATATGTACCATAAATTTGAGCTCGATCTAACAGTTGAATTGAGGAATATTGAGGTTTAAGTGGATCAAGGTCTTAGAAAGTAGAATTTTAGGTCCAATGGGAGTTTTTAAGATTTATTGCAATCTACTAGTTGGATTGGAGTAAAATTTACATAAGAAGATATTAGACTTGTTTTTCTATGTGTATGAGAATTTTGAAATCAATCGAACGATGCAAAGGAGAGATATTGGCTGCGGAAGATTAGCATTAAGATTAAAGAAGGAGGTTTGCCAATACCCGAGCACATTTTTGAAGTTATCGTCAATTTGATAATCTGATCCTTTTCAATTTTTTTATGCTTGTTTTAAAAATTGTGCAAAATTTGAGTTAAGATCAACAGTTTATTCATTAATTATTGAGGTTTAAATTTGTTGTAGGAATTATTAGGATTTGATTTAGGGTTTGGGGTTTAGGATTTATTTAGGGTTCAAGATTTAGATTAGGATTTGATTTAGGATTTGGAGTTTAGGATTTATTTAGGATTTAGGATTTGATTAGGATTTGGTTTAAGATTAAGATTTGATTTAGGGTTTAGGATTTGGATTAAGGTTTGGTTAGAGTTTGATTTAGGGTTTAGGATTTGGTTAGGATTTGGTTTAGGGTTTGGTTGGGGTTTGGTTTAAGATTTATTTAGGGTTTGATTTAGGGTTTAGGATTTTATTAGGATTTAAGATTCAATTAGTTTTGGCATAAAGTTTAAATGAAGTTCAATAGGATTTTAACTAGAATTAAATTAAGATTGAATTGAGATGTATTTGAGTGATATTTGTAATCCTTCTAATATTTCTTTAAGAATTCTTATTGTTTGTTTGAAATTTCTTTGAGGTTTTTTTGAATTTGATTAAGCTTGCTTAGCATTATTATGGTCTAATTAGAGTATTGTTAGTATTCTCTTAGAATTAGGATTTTGTCATTAAAATTTCCATTCTTCCTTCCACAACGAGGTGTCCAGAGCATTCTCAAGCAAGACTTCACGTATTACGACACTACTGTCCAGGTAGAGAGAGTTGGCCTCAAGAAATCGCTGTGCTTCTGGCTATCACTAATTATTCAATTTAGCTTGAAAATAAGAGAAGTCCTAAGTTTATATATAAATTTTCCCTTTTTGAGTAATTACACCAAATACACAATCCTCAAGTAACCCACAACTTCTTAAATATGATAAAATCTTCTAAAACCTTGTTTATTCTTATGTGGAGATTTTCCAAACTTCAACACCTCATATCTCTTAATCCGACCGTCCAAACAAACTTAAATTTTATATGAGGTACTGATGTATTTTTATTAACTTCTACAACAATTTTCAATTGCAAATTCATTGGAGATCTTGAGATATCTTGAAAATCCTAATAGTCACTTCAAACCCTTGTCTTTTTACATCTACGTGCAATTTTCTTCATATCTCACAACATATAAACTCAAATGCCACGAAATTTTTATGTATAGCTTCTTAACATAAAACTTTATATTTTCCAAAAAATTTGAACCAAAAATTCGTCCAAAAACTCAAGTTATGGCTCCAACCATTACTACAAACAAACCCGCATACTTACTACTTTTGATTTGAAAGTGTTGCCTTCAACTCCTTACAACTCCTTCATATGAATTCCAAAAGCAATAATTCTTTCATGAAAGATGTAGGCTTTGAAATTGCCGTTCCAATCG